CCTAAAATTGTCACATGCTGACCTATTAGTGAGACTTATCTAATCTTTTATTTTTAAATCTAATAATTTAAATGCAAATACTTCATGCTAGTTTATAATACTTTTAAAAAACCTGTGTATAATTTCAATATATACTGAATATAAGTTGTTATTCTAATTTGTAAAGATATATGAGTTTTCTTTTTAGTAGAATTTTTGTAAAAGTATGTACATGCTTAGAAAATAATTTTTATAGCTTTTGTTTTTAATTATTAGATTTTTTTTATTTATTTATTACAACACTCATATATGTATATATGTTGTAAAATCAAAATATATTGGGACATTTTTCTGTATCTTGATTACAAAATGTGTGCATCACTCCATGTGGAAAAGAAGGAGCCTTTGGTTGCTAAGTCATTCCTGACATACTTATGCCTACGATTATGTTGTTTTCATCTCCATGCTTGAATTCCAATGTACTTCAACATGAGATAACCCATTATCCTCAACTTGCCTCAAAGGCGGTGTTCCTCAGACTTTTACCAATGATGCCCTTCAAATTGAGAAATGCTGTTCTAAGGGGTTTGAATTGGATCGTGTTAATTTAATCTCTATTTTTCTGTATTATTTTCTTTTTCAATTATTTTTTTAACTTTTATTTTCTGTGGGCAACTATTGGGTCTACATATAGCTAAGATATTTTATTTACATATAGCAGTGATGCCCAACTTAATTCGGTCTGCAGGCCATTTTAATTTCTTACGATCATGATGTTGGCCACATGAACACGAAAAAAAAAAAGAAATGACATGACACTTTTGATTAGAAACCCATGGATCTAGTTCTTACATTTATTAATGGCCTGTTTGCAGTTTATCCAAATCCAACTTCTGAATATTTGGCTGCATAGATGAGCCACCAAGTTGGAGCTCGGATCTAGATTCTCGTCTGTGAAATGATAACGTAATGGGTTTTGACAGTTTCATTATTGAAAAAGTCTGTTCACATAAATAAGTGCTTGTAAACATTGTGACAATCCATAGGGTATGCTTTCTGAGATTTAGAAAAGTTTCTGCAGGCAACATGGAGTAGGCGTTTTTGTCTGCATCGCTCAAAATTGGTCATGTAGGAATGTCTGGCTTTGTAAGTCAATCCATTCCAGTTACAGATCTGTTGGGGGATTTGACACAGCACTGCAAACGAATTTTCAAAAAAAAACATTTTTAAAATATGAAAATTCATACACCTTATACTAAAAATATCCTCACAGCCTGAGAAGTTGTATCTTTTTTACTTTTGGGAAAGATTATATTTAGCTGCTTCTAATTTTGTAGAGCTGTCCAGGTTGGGAAGTGCCCCACTTGTTGAATGGAGAGTTGCAGTTTCCTTATTTGGAAATCTCTTATGTGAGCCTAGACATGCCAAGAGAAATCAACTTATAATCATTCCCTTGTAGTTTGGTGCAGAGTTTACTTAGATGTGACATAATATCACATACAATTGCCAAATCTCACAACCATGAGTTGTTCATTTGAGACACTTGTATTGATTGCTTTGATTTCTCTGCCTTAAAAATGGACATTTCATGTCTCTAAAATAAAATCAGTTTAGTGCCTCATCATATGGTCCAGATTCAAAACCTTGACATAGAGATTTTGTTGATTAATTAGCAGTGAGGCCGTAGACACTCGGTTCCATTTTACTCAACATCTTTTCTATAGAGCTAACTCTTGCTGACAGTCTGCTGTGACATCCAACATACTTCTGGCACCTTCAGTAGTTACTCCCACAAAATTTCTCCTGAGGAAGAGAAATTTTCTACGATATTAGATCTAGATGTAGTGGTTATCTTCTTTCCATTAAGGCTAAAACAAATAGATATAAAAACTCTTTTATTCCACTTTCACTCAGGGTGTTGCAAGGTCAATAAAGCACTAGTTGTGTGTGTGAGAGTTTGTATATTTGTATTTGCATAGATCTATATTGTTATTGTTAAAATAGTTATGCTGAGGTGGATAATTGTAGTCAAATGGAATTCCCATTTGTTTAGACCAATAAAATTATCTTATCTTGTGCTTCAAACCTCTATGAACAAGTCTTCCCATGCATCCTCCTCATAACTACTAACTCCTCATTCAAAATTGCTGTTAGTGCTGCAAATATATACCAAGAGTGGTATTAGAAATGTCCATTTAATATTATGTTTTGTTTTAAAAACAGACACATTTTCTTTATAATAAAAGAAATATCTGGAGTTATTATGTTCCACAAAAATGGAAAGATCCGTCCACTTTTCCTGGTAGATTTACATTAAAGTGTAAAACGCCATGGAACAGATTCATGAAAGAAAGGAGTGAGGGCCCTAATGTGCCAACGTATTGGCAGGCTTGATAGAACCACTTCTCAGGCTGGATCTGGCACATGGGCTGTATTTTGGGCATCACTGACGTATGGTAATCATTGGAATAAAAAAACAACTTTTAAAGCAATATGAGCTTGGTTCATGGCTAAAACTTTTCAGCCTATAATTTATTGTTCTAATTCTTAAAACACTGTTTTTTAGTTTAGAAGAAGTATACTCATATTGTATTTTGATTTCAATACAACTTTGAAGCTTTAGCTTCTACATGTGTACTCTATGTAGGGGAGATTATTGAAGAATTTGTGTATACTCTATGATGGGAGAAAATTTGGTGACCTTGTGGTTTTTGTATGATGGGAGATAATTGGTGACATTGTGGTTTCTGTGTGATGTGAAATAATTGGTGACATTGTGGTTTCTGTGTGATGGGAAATAATTGGTGACATTGTGGTTTCTGTGTGACGGGAAATAATTGGTGACTTTGTGGTTTCTGTGCGATGGGAGATAATTGATGACATTGTCATTTCTGTGTGATGGGAGATAATTGATGACATTGTGGTTTCTGTGTGATTGGTAGATAATTGATGACATTGTGGTTTCTGTGTGATTGGTAGATAATTGATGACATTGTGGTTTCTGTATGATTAGGAGATAATTGATGACATTGTGGTTTCTGTGTGATGGGAGATAATTGATGACATTGTGGTTTCTGTGTGATTGGTAGATAATTGATGACATTGTGGTTTCTGTGTGATTGGTAGATAATTGATGACATTGTGGTTTCTGTGTGATTGGGAGATAATTGATGACATTGTGGTTTCTGTGTGATTGGTAGATAATTGATGACATTGTGGTTTCTGTGTGATTGGTAGGTAATTGATGACATTGTGGTTTATGTGTGATTGGGAGATAATTGATGACATTGTGGTTTCTGTGTGATTGGTAGGTAATTGATGACATTGTGGTTTATGTGTGATTGGGAGATAATTGATGACATTGTGGTTTCTGTGTGATTGGTAGATAATTGTGGTTTCACTTTAAAAAGGGGAGAGGTGGAACAAAGTATGAAGTTTGTAAAACAAAATTGATATTATTTTAATGCGTGTTTGATTTATAATACTATGAAACAAGATTATAACATTACTTAATCAAATATATCTTTTTTTCCCTCCTTGAATAAACTGTGACATTCCTAATGGGATTATTTGTTATTAGCTAATAGGTCAATAAAATCATCATCATATACACTTATCTCATAACAGCTTGTACTACAGTGAGATAAACATAGAGCACTTTTGTTTTCCTTATACAAATTTGTCTGTGTATAGGTTATTTTGTTTTTATCTTAATTTCACATTTTGTAATAGTCAGTTGGAATAGTATAAATTGGACTAAAGCCTATTTTTGTGTGTTATACAACAGACATAACACAGTATTTACCCTCTTACATTGGACTGTTATCTACCATACTTTATCTACCGTACTTTATCAGTGAATGGTTGATTTGCATAAATATGCAGCTTCCAGAACTATTACTTGAATTTGATGCCAAGAAAAAGTTGTTGACAAAGAGTGTCATCTTGTGATCATTTTATTCTACTTGACTGGTTGGATTTATTATTTTTTTATTTGTGGTCAGTGCAAGTAAGAAAAAAAAACACTTTAGTTTTTTTTTAACCAAAGAGGTGCCACACTGACACATTTTTTTTCCCCATTTGGATTTTATTAGAAAATTTTCTTTCTCTGATTTTGTCCATTACAGAACTTATACAGTTATGTTTTTCACATCTAGTCTTTTTTTTTTTTTTTTTTTTTTTTTTTTTTTTTTTTTTTTCATGGATTTCATTTTTTAATTATCAAATGTCTGAGCTTTTTTTTTTGTGTTTGTTTGCTGTGTTTTAAATTGGAAATTTGGGGAGGGGCTTCATATCAAATCAGAATCCAGGTTTGTTTGTTTTTTGTAGAGATAGTTGTTGTTTTTTTCTGTGGCAGTGAAGTTCTATGTTTCACCATATTCCAAGCTTTGAATCATCAGAGAATGTCATTTTGATATTACAACACCATTCAAATGGTTGGAAGTCAGAACTTTGCACTTGTCCTAAACCCTTTTTTTAACTGTTTGATCTTTTTCTTTTATGAAATACTTCCTTATTGTTTTGTTTTGTAAAAACAACAAGTCATTTGTGTGAACTGAAAGCAATACTTAATTTGTGTAAGCTTTAAGTTTGATATCATTAGTTACTACCAGTATTTATCACTTTTGTGTGTGTGTTTTATTTACCGTTGATAGCATTTTAAAGCTTTGGTTTATTTCTTTTTAGTTTTGTCTCTACACAAGCTTACTTGGCAATGTCCAATTATGTACTCTTTGTTTCATGACCAGGTATCTGAAGCATTTAGATTCAAGATAGGCTTAGAGTCTGCAATTTCGCTCATCATATTCCAAATGCATTGTGTTGTAACAATCCACTTTTTTTTGCTGATTAGTGTAGTTATTGACTGTGTTATGGCCAATAGATTGCAGACCTTAGTAAGACTAGCAGTTTATCTGTACATGGTACTGCAGTACTACTGGAGTGAAACCATATAGATAATCTCTACAAGGAACGGCAGTACTAGGCCCTACTTGAGCTAAACCATAGTGAAACTATCTGTACATGGTACTGCAGTACTACTGGAGCTAGACCATAGTGAAACTAACTGTACATAGTACTGCAGTACTACTTGAACTAAACCTTAGTGAGACTATCTGTACAACGTACTGCAGTACAACTTGAGCTAAGCCTTAGTGAAACCAGTGTATATGTGCATGGTTCTGCTCCATTACTAAGGCTTTGACACACTCACTGTTTAGGCAATCTGTTTTTCTGTTTCCTCTGCCATGACAATTTACTTGCAATACTTTGACATTGTGTATAGTTTGTATGTGTGTATACAAAGTATGAACATGTGCTGGAATAAATCTAACATGAAACAATGAGTGTATTTTTCTCACTTATCATTTGTTGTGTGTTGAGGCTGGTGATACTGTTACCATAAGAGGTGCTGTTGGTGAGCCCCATGTAAAACTAAAACAAAAAAGTGACTTCAGTATTTTTAAACACTATAGCCCATATAGACTCAAGATGACTGTAAGTCTAAATCTTCCACTTGAAAATAAAATTAACTAACTTTAAGGGTATAAAAGAACGATTGAGTTATTTCATGGAAAATTGTACACTTAAAACTTTTCACAGGGCAATTTAATAATATCAAGAAATAGCGGGTATTTAAAAACAACAACACATTATTCCAATTTTGAAAGTAGGGAGGTCAGTGGGGATTAGCTTCTATTTGTAGAAATGGAAACGCTTTAAAGAACGGCTAAGGCGCCAACTTGACCTAGAAGAAAGCACCTGGTTGCATGCGGCGCCAACTTGACCTAGAAGAAAGCACCTGGTTGCATGCGGCGCCAACTTGACCTAGAAGAGAGCACCTAGTGGCATGCGGCGCCAACTTGACCTAGAAGAAAGCACCTGGTTGCATAAGGCGCCAACTTGACCTAGAAGAGAGCACCTAGTTGCATAAGGCGCCAACTTGACCTAGAAGAGAGCACCTAGTGGCATAAGGCGCCAACTTGACCTAGAAGAGAGCACCTAGTAGCATAAGGCGCCAACTTGACATAGAAGAGCACCTAGTGGCATAAGGCGCCAACTTGACCTAGAAGAGAGCACCTAGTTGCATAAGGCGCCAACTTGACCTAGAAGAGAGCACCTAGTGGTATAAGGCGCCAACTTGACCTAGAAGAGAGCACCTAGTTGCAGGCGCCATTTGACCTAGAAGAAAGCACCTAGTTGCATAAGGCGCCAACTTGACCTAGAAGAAAGCACCTAGATTTGCATGCGGGCTTCTGAACATGACAGCTGGAAGTCATTTACAAAGATACGTGTTTGAGACCACAAGAAAACTTGCTGCCTAGGACAGACGCAGACGGCGAAAAGAAAATCTAAGCTGACCACCGGCGGACAATGGTTATGCCTGCGCTAGATGTAGAACACAGCTGGGACTGCGTAGCCACGGGAAATACTGCATTCCTAATTAATCTTCGGACTCAAAGACGAGCCTTATTTGTGCACTTGAGAATTCCCTGAAAACTTTGCTTACACCAAAGCACACCCAACTGGAAATAATCAGTTCCGACTACTCTCTTATCTCTACTATGGAGGAGCCAAAGCAAATCAAAGGAGTGTCGGAAGACGCCAAAGAAAATATCGCCGAACGTCTTGGTCTTACAGAGGAGGGCGTATCTGCAGATATATGTCTAAGGTACGACATGGTTCTATTTAGTTCATACACATCTCATTGCTGCTGATACCTAGGTTTAGGGAGATGAAATTCCGGAACTTCCGGTGTCCAAAAAATGACGCAAAAACTTGAGACAAGAGTTTTCCTTACTGCTACATAGGTCTTTGTTTGAAATCGATTATGCTCACTATATATAAAGATATCATTGCTAAAAAGAGTGAATCCGATTACTTTTGGTAATGGAGAACATTTTTGTCTTTAACAAGTTTTTGAAAAAAAAAATGTATTTAAATATTTTGCATTGAAAGTATATACATTTTTATTTTTGCTGATACTCATCACAGAAAAGTCGTACCCTGTTGATTTTTTTCCTGCTAATAGTACATGTGTCTGGCTATATTCCTACCAATTTTCAGATCGATCTATTGTCAACATCGAACACACTTGAAAAAAAAACAACAACATTGACCTCAATGGACAATTGTTTCAGGCGATTTTGATCCCAATTTTTAAATATTATGTTATTTTCTGCCATCACAACTCCGCCATTTTGTCCCCGACTCTCTGACATTTCTTGTAGATCTAGACCCGATAATTTGTTTATTTCATCAATATTTACATTTTAAACAACTGAAGTTCATAAATATAAATGAAATCAGAATTGTGAGCTAGAAATTTACCACGAATACTAGATCTACTATTAAGTTTCTTATTTAATAAACAGATCTATCGTCTAAGGAAACTTAATTCTAACTTTTTAACTTTTGACCTTGGGGGTGTGTCTGGCCGGCTGAGCCAGCGACAAGCTCTCATATCACTTTCTTCATGTCAACCAATGTTAGGTCAAAACGGCACAAAAAATATCATAACTTTTTTAATGTTAAACATACAGTCATAATTTTCACACCATTAGAAAGTTCTTTTAAAGTATTTTAATGCTGTACTTACGAAAAATAGTTTTTTCACTAGGTTTTTTTTTTATTTGCTTCGGATGTTCCTTCAGATCTTGAAGATTATCACATCAGGACTAAACTAGCTTAAACTTCCCACGGGATGTCGGTGGGCAGGGTTCAAACCCGGGACCATTGAGACCCTTGAACGACAGTTCAGAGCCCGTACCACAAGACTGGGCCGCCATCCAGTACAGTTTTATGAAAGTCCCGCATGGAAATGGCCAGGTTTTCTTAGATTTGACCAGTTCATCCTTCGCATTCATCGATGGAACAATTGAGGCTCTAGCCAGATTTAGTGATATCTTGAAAGAGAAATTCGTCCCATAGACATAACTATATATCTATCTATCTATCCATTCTGCTCCACCCAAACCCCCATGAGGTACAGGAAGAAGAAGAATAGAACATTCTCATAAGATATTTCTCTTCTGCGCGCTTCCCCCCTGTATATTTCTAAGTAACGTGTCTCCACAGCAAGCCCATTGAAGTCATATCTTCTCAGCAAGCCCATTGAAGTTATATCTCCACAGCAAGCCCATTGAAGTCATATCTTCTCAGCAAGCCCATTGAAGTCATATCTTCTCAGCAAGCCCAGTGAAGTCATATCTCCACAGCAAGCCCATTGAAGTCATATCTCCACAGCAAGCCCATTGAAGTCATATCTCCTCATCAAAGTCATATCTCCTTAGCAAGCCCATTAAAGTTTACAGCTCAACGACAATCAAACAGCCTGTTTTTAGTTCATTTGCATGATTCCAGGGAAATCTTCTGTTTTCAAAACAAAAATAATTATTTGTTTTATTATTGTTGTGTTTACTTATTAGTTTTAGGTTGCTGTTTTTTTTATTATTATTAGTGCTAGGTAGCTGTTATTTCTTATTAGTGTTAGGTAGCTGTTATTTCTTATTAGTGCTAGGTAGCTGTTATTTCTTATTAGTGTTAGGTAGCTGTTATTTCTTATTAGTGTTAGGTAGCTGTTATTTCTTATTAGTGCTAGGTAGCTGTTATTTCTTATTAGTGCTAGGTAGCTTTTATTTTTAAATTCCATTCTTCCGATCATACGATTATATCTGCTTTGTTTGTTGACATTATTTCGCCTACAGGAGCGAAGCTGCGTGTGGAAGCAGTGTGGTCCCATCTCAAACTCTGTATATTGTCAACCCGACAGCTTCGGAAAACAGAAAACCGGATTGTTATAAAGTTGGATTGAAGGTAATGTCGTAATTTGAGGACAATTAGGGCGTAGATCAGGTGTCGTAACATTCAATGTCTAAACTATAGGAATAATTCTCTCAACAATTTAATAAATTCTCTCTTTATCTCTCTTTTTCAATCTTTTCTCTTTTTCTCAATCTCTCACTCTATCCTTCTAGATATCTCTCTAGATCTTTCTAGACCTTTCTTTATATCTTTCTAGACCTCTCTTTATATCTTTCTAAACTCTCTCTATATCTTTCTAGATTCTATCTTTCTAGACCTCTCTCTATCTTTCTAGACCTCTATATATATTTCTAGACCCCTCTCTCTCTCCTTCTTTCTCTCTCAATTTTCTCTCTCTCCTCCTCTCTCTTTCAATTTTCTCTTCTCTCTCAATCTTTCTCAATCTCTATCGTCTCTTTCATTAGATGTTAAAATGAATGAGCCTTCTAAAGAGAGTCCAAAGGACACTTTAATTCTTATTTACAATACGACTAAATTTCCAGTCCATCCACCAACTCATCCATCAATTCAACCATCCATGGATGGCTGCCTGGTTGTGCGTTTGCGCGCTGGACTGTCGTTCAGATTTATCGATGGTCCAGGGTTCAAACCCTGCCCGCTCCCATTCCCCGTCGTCCTGCGGGAGGTTTGGACTAGGAAGTAATTATCTTCAACTCTGAAGGAACATCCGAAACATGTAAAACATTTTACATCCATATATTATATATACATATACATATATAAAGCTTCAACAGATATGCCGTCTTCCTTTAAAAGTACGAAATATTTCCAAAGTGTCATTTCTGCAGGGTTACGGAGTGCCACACCAACACCCCCTATACTCAACCAGCAATTCGGTGTACGGACGCCACGCCCCTCCCCCGGGGCTCAACAAGAAAAGGTTCCCACGCCGGGCCAAGTTCACCACGGACCTCTACAAGTGTGGGATCTACGAGGATTTTCACCTGACCACTGAAGTCGAGACGGATGTGGTCTACAGGCAAACGTTCGATGTTTAGCCGTGAGATAGCAGCCAGATAGAGAAAAGAGATGGACTGTAGTTGTATGGTTTATATTATTACACTCTTAAGTGTGCAGATCAACTGGAGATTGTTAGATTATTACACAATGCATGCAAGATGAACAGGGGATGTTGGGTGAGTGAGTGAGGTATCAAAAATTTGCGTGTGGTTTTAGGGATGCAAAAATACTTTCCTCTCTAGCATTTTTTTTTTGTACTGTGTAAAAGGTAATATAATTATACGTTTATAAACTTTAGAGAGATGTTTTTAAAAGGGGGGAGGGGGAGAAATGTGGAAATAAATATGTTCATAGTTCTGTCTCCTTTTTTTCCCATCCTGGTTATAAATTAAATATGCAAAGATTAATTGGCTTAATCTATCGCTTGGTAAACTCTATCTCTTGTTCTACTTTTACTGTCTATTTACACAATGTTTCTGAGAATGACATGAGATTAATAAAGGGAAATACGGAAAGAGAGACTTTTTTTTACATTGCCGTTCAAACAAAATTCGTCTAGAGAG